CTAGAAGAGCTTCTGGCCTATGATTGGGATCTTTCTGGATATCTTTTTTCGATTTTGACCCCAGAACCCCCAAATTTGCCCTACTGACTTCTACTAGTAGAGAATTAGTTCTCGCTGCATATGTTAGAACGTTTGCACTGATAGATTCTATTATAGGAGATGACATTGACGAATGACATGAGCAAAGAAAACAAATCATTAATCAAAGAAGAGTCTCTTACAAAAGAGGAAAAATTGGAAGCTATCAAAATGTTAAATGAGGTGAATGATTATGATAAAGTTTATTCAGAATTTAGGACAAAAAGGTTATGCGAAAATTGTCAATCGAAATGCTTTGCTACAACATTTTGTGAACTTTGCGTACAAAATTATTTAATAGCAAATTTTTCAAATTGGACATCTGAAAATAAAGAAATTGATTATTTGATAAAGAAATGTCAGAAAGAATCACTTGTTTCCTATCAAATAGTCGAATGGGTTCCATAAGAGAATTTTCATGACGTAAAATATTTAACTAAAGGTGGATGCTCTGAAATTTATGTTGCAGATTGGGTTAATAGATGATATGATAGATGGGATTTTGAAGAAAAACAATTAAAAAGATTCAGAACAAGAAATGTGATACTTAAAAAGTTGGAAAATATTGAAAGTGCTAGTAGAAGTTGGTTTGAAGAAGTTAGTAATTTCATGTTAAAAATCTTTTTTAATATATAAAAATGGTAACTAATCAAAAAGAATTTTAAATAGTTGAAATCTCATTTAACTATAGGCAATATGTATCCAGAAATTGTTCTTTGTTTTGGTTTAACATAAGATCCAATAGATAGAAACTATTGACTTGTAATAGATAAATTGGAGATAGACTTGAGAAAATATTTGAATGAAAATTATGATCAACTTAAATGAAAGAAAAGGATCGAAATTAGTGTCGCTATTATTAAAGTACTTGAAAAAATATACGTAGCTGAAAATGCAATTTATAGAGATTTACATTTGAAAAATGTATTATTTTTAAAATATTCTAATACATGGTATATTAGTGACCTTGGATTTTGTGGTCCTATTCATAAGCCATTAGGTAGTATATACGGAAATCTTCCCTATATAGATTCTCAGGTCATCGTCGGTAAAGAATATACTTGTGCATCAGATATTTATAGTGTTGGTATGCTTATGTGAAAAATTTCATCTGGGCAACCACCTTTGTTAGATTCGATCAAGATCATTACCTAGCCTTTAAAATTTTAGATAGAATGAGACTAAATATAGTACCAAGAACTCTTTTAGAATATAAAAACTTGATGGAACAATGTTGGGACGCTGATCCATCAAAGAGACCTGATATTACTACTCTTGGAATAAAAATTACAGAAATACAAAAATCATATTATCAACATGAAAATGATACTAATAATGAAATTAATAATTTGCAATTTAATACTGATATTAGCGCAACTTCTAATACTGTTATATCATTAGTTAGAAACTTTAGTAAAGTTCATATCTTTGAAGATTTGCCTGAACCAAGAAATGCTTCTATAGGTGAGCTGATTAATTGATATTATTTATTATAACATAGAATCTCACTAACATATTTTATTTATCATTAATAGAAGAACAAGAAGGTAATTATTTAAGAAATAAAAATTTCATTAATTTATTGATATTTATTATAAATTATTTTTTTTATAAAGATTATTATAGTATTCAACTTCAAAAAATATTAAGTTTAAAAATTATGATTGATAATGAAAAGAATAGTCAAAATAATGAAAGTTTAGGTAATAATTTATTACATTATTTAATTTACTTTTTCAAATTTTTAATTATAAATTAAATTAATTTTTCTAATATTAAAAATTCTTAGAATATTGTAGGATTCATACTTTATATCAACCTGAATAGACTGATTCTACTAAATTAATCAGTATGATTGATTATTAATTAAATTATTAAACTATTTAAATTATAATTACTTATAATTTGTTAATTAGTATATAAAAGTAATGAAAAAGGAAAATCTAAAAGAAGTTATTCAAATGGTATTAATTTATTTTTCTTGTATTTATTTGTTAATTTTAATAAACATTTAATATTTTTTTTTATTATTATTTTATCCAGAAGATAAAACTGATGACTTCAACAATAGTTCTAAGAAAATAAAGTAACCATAATAATATATTAAAGCAAGAATTACAATTTATATATTAAATTTCATGTTAATGCACTATATTTATGTAAATTATGTAATAAAAATTTATTAATTAACTTAATATATCCAGATTTTTTATTACGAATAATTATAAAAAATAAATTAGCACCTGAGTTTAGTATATCATAATTTATTCGTCATTCGACAAATATTCGTTCTAATTCCAGCTGAATTAAGTTTCTGGCCAGAAAGAATAATTTTCGTCATATCTGGAAAAATTAATAATACATCCTAAAGAAATTAACGTTACTAAGAAAATGAGTTGTCGGCAAGTGGAAAGAACATTTAAAATAAAAAGCCGGTCTTACAAACCTCATGAGTTCATCTTGAAGTAGGTGAACTTCAAGCTAGCTTCAGCCAAATAACTAATGTTTGAAGGTATGAAATATATTGTTTTAGTTACAACATTGGTATCAAGGTAACGTATAGAGAATCCTAATGTTAAAACAATTGAATATTATAGTTATGGTGGAAGGTATCAAAATATTAGATTGGAACAGAAGTTTAATTTATGCTTAACTTTGCTTAAGTAATCATTAGAAGTTTTTTGCTGGTTTGAGCAATTGTTTATTTCATGATTTGTGTAAGCTTTTTATCTTAAAGTCTGTTGATCGAATTTGAAAAATTCAAAATCTCGTTTTCATCACTCATCTTTGTGGTTGATGCTAAACAAGATTTAACTAACCAAATTGTCTAATTATTTAAAATATCTTCTAAAATAATTGAATCTTTAATAACTCTTCTACGTGTAGATAATATGGTAGTTTCTGTCATATTATTCGTTCGTATTTTTGTATGTATTCTAAACTTGTTTTCATGTATAAGATTGTTAGATGAATAAACAATTTGTAGAATACTATGTAAATCATATGAATCATATAAGAAGAACATATTTTCTTTCAAAATAACAAATTAGGATAAATTATTCAGTAAATTTCAATGCTGAATATTTTCCTGTTATGCATTTAAAATTTTATTAAAAAAATTTTGAAAATCAAGTGTTGTGGAATACATTTGCTGCCTCTTATTCATGTGAAGGCAGGCTATGAATATTTAAGAATGCGATCGAAAAACTTGTAAGAAATACTTTGAAATATTCCAACTAAAGAGCAAATATTATACACAATGGACGAGAAACATTTAAAGTGTTTGTATTTTGATAGTCGAAATTCAGATACCATACTTTATGTACCTAAAAAGTACTACAGTTCACAATGAAAACAGTAAAACTAAATAATTAATAAATATTGTTTCTACGAATGTTATTTAGAAAGTAAGATTACGGGTCATACTTAGGTAACTTGTTTTTGAAAGATTTATATAACAGTTCAATTAATACAATTCACTTATGTAGTTAATTATCAAAATCAAAACCTGTATGAAATATAAAAGGTAATTATAAGAATTTTATTAAATGAAGAGATTTTATAATTCTATCCTCAAGCCTTAACCTTTAAACTCCAAAACTCTTTTGATAACGGACTATTTATATAAATTTCTTATAATAATAAATAATGAAAATAATAAATAATAAAATAAACTAAATAATAATAAATAATGAAAAGTTGATAAAATATAACATACATAAAATGTAAGAGAAATTAGGAGATAAGTTGTCATTATATTTGACAAAGTATTGCATCTCATAGAGCACATCAAATAGTTTCAGTAGGAGAATGATATTTGCAATTAATGGAATAGTCACCGCAGTCACACCATGCGCTCAGCCAGAAATTCTTGATTTTGCTAACATCATGTCCAACGTGATTTGATCCAGTAAAGCAACGATCACAAATGATCAGAGCGAATAAAACAAGTACTATACTGACAAAGTAGGAATGAATATTGATGATAAAAAAATTTTAGCTTACAACCGAAATCAGTTTAAATATGAAAGAATATTATTATGAGCAACCGCAAATATTACCTGCAATGATAATATACTTCTCCAACAGCGATTTTCTTTTCACAATAGGAAGGTCTACCTATTTGTGTATCTGATAGGTGATACTTGCAATTGAGTTAAAACTTCCAATAATTTATATTATCGCAATTACACTTCACGATCTTGTTAGAATTCATAATTGTATAGATAATGTCATGTCCAATATGATTTGTTCCATTATAGCAACGATAGCAGAGAACAGAATCATCACAAGTAGCGCATGTCTTACAATGATATGCAATTGTAAAATAGTAACGAAAAATCTTTATATATAGTCAAAATTTGTCATACTTACTTGCATATGTAATATTTTTCCCAAGTACCAAATTATCGTGGCATATCTGACTCTGAGGAGATAATTCTATTGGCTTTAATAGGTAATTGAAATATTAGACAATTTAAATAGACCTTACGAAAAGGAATCAACAATAATGTATAATTTACATTTGATGTTGGTAATTGTAATTTAGGTTTTTGAGTGTGGTTTTTAGGATTCAGTTTAAGATCTTTAAACGCATCCATATAAGGTAAAATTTTTATTTGAGCTTGAATCAAAGCTTCAACCAGTTCTTTGAATTTACTAGAAATCTAAATTTAAATATCAAACACCTAATGAATTGACAGTTTCACTTTACTTTGGACAATGCATGACTTACCTCATCCAACTTAAAACTATTTAAAAAATCTCTAATACACTGCTTCCGGAAATTCAATAGAAAAGTGCGACTTTCATTTAATGCTTGTATCAAATTCTCGGTATTTTTCTCGTCAAATGGATTATCACTAATAACGTGATAGGCACGAGCATCGAGGGCCTCATAAATTGAAATCAAGTGGCTCCGCAATTCGTTGCATTGGTCGTAGTTTTTTGATGACTCTTCAGCGATATTTTTTACCTCAATGAACTTGATTGCTATGACTTCATCCCACATATTTGTTGCCATGATGAAGGAAGGTTGGGATGAAATTCAAATGAAAGATAGTTTAAATGAGTTTGACCAAAAACGGAGAATTAAATTCATTATGTGGATCTGCAAATGTAGTGTAATGTATACTTATTTTCAATCTAAATGTAATACAGCATATCATTGTTTGTCCATTAATGTAATTGTAATCTCATGTGACATAAATAATATTCTTTCCAAACCTTGCCTTGGTGTATGTATCTGAGTAAACTTGGACAATACCATAAGGAATTCGGATATAAAATTTCTGATGCTACTGTACATATATATTGTAGCTTTAAATATATCCTTTAATATACTTAAACCTTGAAACACAATTTATTACGAATAAACACATTATAATTTCTGTCCAAGTTTTTTGCTGCACCATCTTTCTCTAAATGCTTGCAGTATATTATTCCAGTATTATTTCTTAGACGTATGATATACAGTATATATTTATTATTTTCGTTAGATTAGAATTTATATATAAATAGTCATGTAGTTTACCCTGATGTGCAAAGTTCCAGTTGTAACAATAAGACTTGGAATAAGATTTGCAACCAATACAATAAAATTTGTATTCTACACTAACCTCTTCGTGTTTTTGCATAAATGAATTGTATTAATTGTTTATTTAAAATTTAAAATACATTCATTTTTGTTAGGTTATGTTGAATATTTTTTGAACTGTTTTATCGAATAATGATCAGATAAATTAAGATTAAACATTTGTTAAAAATAATTCTTATTTTTATACAACCAAATCACAACAAAAAATTTTTAAAAAAAAATAATGAGACCTCTCTTTAAAAAAATAAAAGCTAATACAAAGAAGTACTAATAAAAGGACTACTATTTCCAAAGATTTAAATAAAAAAAAAAAATAGTTAGAAATGTGTTAGTCGAGTCGACCTGGGTTGTTTGACTCGACTCGAATTTTTTCTCGAGTCGGGACTCATTTTTATGACACAAGTTCTAATTCAAAAAAACCCGTCGGGTCAGGGTCACGTTTTTGCTTGACTCGAGTCGACCGGGTGACCCGGATGATCAATTAACAACGCTTTATTTTTGTTTTACGTTACGCGACTTTAATTTGTAACAAATGAGTGAACCTATCGACGTTAAAGAATACGAAAAGCATTACGGAGTGAACAATTACAGGTAAAAAAAAAAAAATTATCGATTATTAAACATTAACTAATACATTTTTTTTCTGAACGTACATGAAATGACGCATTTGATGACCTAGTGCTCCGTAAGGGTCGGTTGTGTCTGGTTTAAGGCATATTCGAACTCAAACCCGTTAATAATGATAGAACCCGAATTCGACTCAACCCATTATTGTTTAACCAGGATTCGACTCGAATTTTCAAGGGTAATATTAATGTCGAAAATAAAAAAGTGTCATAAAGATTTTTTTTTAAAAATGATTTATTATTTATTTGTGAGCATTAATCCTAGTTTTATTTTACATCTTTTTGCACTAGGATTTCAAGCACAAGCACATACAGGAGCGAATTGCATTAGCTCAAAGACCACGTCTTTTGGTTGATTGATATAAGATCGATTCCGAAGCGCTTCGTTATGCAAGTAGTTGCGATAAAAAGCTCAATGATTAATATTAGGCTATTGCGTTACATTAAATACGCCAATATGCTATTTTGATTTTATGCAATAAAGACGTTAGCATTACAAGTCGTAGTAAATTAACTAGTTTATGTTGCCCTCTGCCTTATCATATTCCGTGCTAGCGAATTTACTCCTGTTCATGGTTTATATTCGTTGTCATTCCTGGATTAATTTATTATAGGAAAAAACATCTAACTTCTTAAAATCGGTATTAATAATTTATTTTGGTGATCAAGGGTAACTAGAAATGGATACGATGAATTATACAATTTAACGATTTAACGGGTAATTAGTAAACCAAAAAATAAACCAAGTAGATAAATATGTTAATTAAATATGATGTGGAGCAACAGCGGCGTTATCCAAACTTTATAAAACTTAACTATATTTACAATTCACGGTTCAAAAAAAAAAGACCCCATCCTGTTCTTTTTTCTTAAACGATTTGTTTTACCTTTATTAATTCACAAATGAAATATTTACTTCAGAAAAAGTTTCAGAAAGAGATGTTGGAAACGTTCCAAAATTTGGAAGAAACAAAGTTCTTTCTTTCAATGGCAATTGTTCAACCCTTTGTATTGTTTTACAAAATGTACTAGCGATGAAGATCTGATCACGACATCAAATGACCATTGGACAATTCAATAAATTGAATGTTTGAGAATAATATTCAATACGATACTTTTTTTGTAAAGAGAATCAAGTGTAATTAAATAGTATTATGCTAGAAATACTTATATCTAAACATGATTTATTTTTCTTTTATTATTTTATTTCTTTTTCTTTATTTCTTTATTTCTTTTTTTTTTTTGACCATTAAAAAATCATTTCTTCAAATCTTTTGATCAATTTTCTTAATCAAAATATTTCAATTTTGCAATGTTCTCTACTATGTCTGACGTTCAATTTTTGTCACCTCAACTACTACAACGTAGAACTACTGCAGAAATATGTACACAAAATATTTCCTCACTTCCAAACGACTCATATGCGATGTCATCAAATCAAGATTACAAAGATTCTAAAATACAGTCTTCAGCT